GGGCCCCCGCTCCCCTCTCTCTGAGGCCTCGGGGGGCTCGAATGCCCCCAGTCCCCCGGGGAAGGATGGGGAGACCCGCCCCACCCCACTTCATGATACTTCCGGCCCCCAGGCCGCAAGGGCAGCACAGGCCCAGGCCGGTTCCCATAGCAATCCGCGCAGGCACACCCACTTCCGGCGCATGGAGTGGCGACTTCCGGTCTGTCTTTCCGCGGCGCCCGGGGGGTTCGAGTGGGGTCTGGGCTCGGTGAGCGGAGCCTACAGCGTGCATGCGCGGGGGAAAGGTGAGAGGGGGCAAAGGTCACGGGGAGGGTACCGCGGGGGATGAATGGACAGAGCTTCCCTCAGGGGTTCATGGGGAGCAGGGGAGGGGTCCTGGGTCGGGGGTCACTGGGTGTGAGAGGGGCTGGGGTCAAAGGGCAGGGTTGGAGGTAGCATTTGGGGGCAGGGTGGGGCTGGTGCTCAAAGTCCGTGGGGTCAAAGGGCGCAGGAAGAGAGAGTAGGGGTGGTGGCCTGGAAGCAGGGGTCACTGGGATAGTGGGGGAGAGCATAGGGGCATCTGGGATCTAGGTGGGGCTGAGGTCATAGGTCACTGGGGTTGAAGGGCATGGGGAGGGGTCACTGGGATTAGGGATGAGCACGGGAGCATCCGGGGTCTGGGTGAAGCCGGGTGATCCCTAGGGCTGGGGCCTGTTTGTCTATGGGGCGAAGGGATTTCCCTGTCACTACAGTAACAGCCCCCATGCCCTGCTCTAGCCCCTGCCCCCAACCTGGGAACCCAGGTGTCTGGGCTTCTAGCCCCTCCAGCTTGGCTCCCCGTGCTCATGTCACCCCCCACCCCCAGCTCTGGGTGTCTGGCTCTGGTCCCCAGCGGTGGCAGCCTGAAATCATTATTCTTGTCCTCTCTCAGTCCCTTTTCCAGGAGCTCAGTTGGACACATGTGACCCCGTGTCAGCTGCAGCCATGACGTCCCTGGTGAGTTTGCATGTGTGTCCCCCTGAAACAGGAGCTGCAAGCCACCCAGGTCTCCCTGCCCCCTTGGCTAAGGCATATCTGGCTGACAGACTCAGGCTCTTGCTGCCCCTGGGCTGGAGAAAACGGTGCCCATCCATCCCTCACATGCAGCCCGGGACAGGGGAGTCCTGCTCACTGCAAGTGCTTATCAGCCTTGATACCCAGAATGAGAGGGCTGAGAAGCCCTGGCCCCAGCTTCCCTGCCCTGTGTCCCTCTGGCTTGTCTCACAGCCGCTGTGGTGCCTTGGGGATGGAGCAGACCAGAAACCCATTTCCTGTGTTGAATTCAAGTCCTCTTTGTTTCTCTACATGCTGCACACATGTGGGTGTGAGCATGTGCATGGGTCAACATGTGCATGTGTGTATGCATGTCTGTGTCTGTAGTATTCCATGCACTAACTCTGGGATGAGCCCTTGCTCTCCGCTCTCTCCACAGGGCACCAGCAGCCAATCAGTTACGGAGTATGTGGTCCGTGTGCCCAAGTAAGTCTCTAGGCACTGCCTTCTAGCCCACTTTCCTGCCCTCCCCATGTTCACACTGCTGTATCCATTGCCTGGAGCAGGGACAGGAAGTTGGGATGTTACCCAGTGCTGGGTGGGCACCAGGGCTCTGCCCATGCCTCGTGGCTTCTTGCTGGGAGCTCCAGGCGTGGACCACTGGGAACAGCCATGTTTCCATGTTTCCTCTGTCTTTGGGCCAGGCTCGGCTGGGGGTGGGAGGTGGTGGTGAGGGGAGGGGCTGGCTATTGCCTCAGGGGGCTTGGAGAGGGGAGCTTGAGTTTTCTCCCAGTTGCTTCTAGATTGAATCTCTGGACTGAAAGTCCAGGCTTGCTGGTGGGGCAACCACGGTCTCACTCCTGTCCCAGTATGGGACTCCCTTGCTTCAGGGTTCTGGGGAGACTGTGTCATGCCTGTGAGAGAGACAGGTGCCCCTGCTTCCTGGGCCATGCCCCCTGCATGACTGAGAGCCCCAACCTGGCACCAGCTGCCCTGCTTGGCACTTTGCAGTGCCTTGCAGCTACCCTGGTGAACCCCCTTCAGCCACCTGCCGCTCATGGGGGATGATGGCCCCCTTCCTCACAGGACTACGACGAAGAAGTACAACATCATGGCCTTCAATGCCGCCGACAAGGTCAACTTCGCCAGCTGGCAACAGGTAGGGCCCCCACCTGCACCCCCATCCCTGCCAGGGCATCTCCCTGCCTCCTGCCATAGTGCCCAGAGACTCCTTCAGCCCCTTGCTGACAGGCTTTGCCACAGCCATGCCCAGAGGCACATCCAGGGGGTCTGCAGTCAATGGACTCCCTCACTGCTGCCTGAATAGAAATGCTGCTGTCACTGCCAGGCAGTTGGCTTTTTAGGGGACCAGAAATCAAGCGGGGAGGCTGGGACAATTGCACCTTCTTTCCCCTCCCCCCCACCCTCCAAATCTGCCCCACTATTTGCCCATGATGTAGCAAATTGTGATGCATTCCAATAAGGCAGAGCTTTCCAAACTTTTCATGTTGGTGACACACTTTTTAGACATGCATCATTTCGCGACACAGTAATTCAGTTCTGGGGGAGGGGCCAAGGGAAGCAGACGCGAGTAAGGGAGCTCCACGGTGCCCTTCCGCAAAATTTTCTGCATTTCGCGCGACACACCTACACACTGCCGCCGACACACTAATGTGTCACGGCACACAGTTTGGAAAGCTCTGCAATAAGGTGATTGTTTTTGCTTCTATCTCGAGCTGAATCATTGAGCCCTGAGCCCATTGCTTTTTAGTAAAGCTTCTAGATTTCTTTTACCTGGGAAATACATGTGTTATGTTGCATGGGATGATATACCTCACCATGTGCACCTCCCTTCTCTCCATCCATGACTGTGATCCCCTGGGATCGCTTTGGATCTCAGCCCATAAAGCTGCCAGCATCCCCAACAGTCGTCACCGTCGTGTGCCGTCCGTCCCGTCCCGTCCCGTCCCGTCCGTCCGTCCCCCCCCCAGTCCCCATCTCCACCTGATCCCACTCTGGTTGAGGGTCGCCCACAGGGCAGGGAGGGGGTGGGAGCAAAGCCATGACATCATCTCCCTGCACCCCCAGGCCAAGATGGAGCGAGACCTGAGCAACAAGAAGATCTACCAGGAGGAGGAGTTGCCTGAGTCTGGGGCCGGGAGCGAGTTCAACCGGAAGCTGCGGGAGGAAGCACGGAGGAAGAAGTACGGCATCATCCTCAAGGAGTTCAAAGCCGAAGACCAGCCCTGGATCCTCAAAGTCAATGGCAAAGCTGGGCGCAAGTGAGCAGGGGGGGCTGGGGCTGGGCCAGGCTCCTGGGGGGAGGCTTATGGGGTTACAGGGGAGGGGGTTGAGTATGGACACCTCCATGGGACAGGGGGAGGGCACAGGCTTCCCTGGGGCTGTGCAGCGAGTCAGTGGAAGGACCCAGGCATCTTGGCTCCCATGATCCCCCCCCGTCTGCTGTAATGACTGGCCTCGCTGCCTAGAGCCTTGTGGCTTAGAACCCAGGCATCCTGGTTCCCAGGCTCTGCCATCAGATCCCCACACCTCTCCCAAGCAGGCAATGGAAACCAGGAGACCCAGCATCCAGTCTTACCTGGTCTAACCAGCAGGCTCCATTCCCCTGCTAGCTGGGACCAGAACCCAGGCATCCAGGGTCCCCCCCGCTATAACCATTGGATTCGCTGTCCTGGGGCTAGAACCTGGGTGACTGGACTGGCACTGCTTCCCTGGGATGCCCTGACACCCCTCCCCACCCACTGCCAGGTACAAGGGTGTGAAGAAAGGCGGTGTGACAGAGAATGCCTCCTACTACATCTTCACGCAGTGCCCAGATGGCGCCTTCGAGGCCTTTCCCGTGCACCATTGGTACAACTTCACCCCTGTGGCCAAGCACCGCACACTCACCGCAGAGGAGGCCGAGGAGGAGTGGGAGCGGTGAGCTGGGGAGGAACCCAGGCGTCCGAGGCCCTCTCCTTCCGCCTTGGTGCCCAACTGCCACTCCTGGGGAATCCAGGAGACCGGGCATCCAGTGTTCTAACCTCTTCCCCCTTCCAAAGCTGGGGAGAAAACACAGGTGTATGGGCTCCCAGCACCCCCCACTCCTACCCACCGACTTCTACTCCCCTTCCTAAGCTGAGGAGAGAACCGAGGAGTCTGGGCTCCCAGCCCTGCCTGCTCTCACCCCTTAGCCCCTGCTTCCGCCCTGAGCTGGGGATAGCACCCCCACCCCCAAGTACTAGGATGGAACCCAGGCATCCTGGCTCCCCACCCTCCCTGTTTTAACTCCCTAGTTCCCCTCCCTCTCCTCCCAGAGCAGGGAGAGAACCCAGTGTTTGGATTTCTCTCCTAGGCGGAACAAAGTCCTGAACCACTTCAGCATCATGCAGCAACGGCGCCTCAAGGACCAGGACGAGGATGAGGAGGAGAAGGAGAAGAAAACCAAGAAGAAGGGCAGTGACCTGCGCATCCACGACTTGGAGGAGGACCTGGAGATGAGTTCGGACGAGAGCGAGCTCAGTGACCCTGACAGTGAGGCCCTGGCCCTACTCCCACTCCCTTGGATGGAGCCTCCCCTGATCCGGGGAGTCCTTCCTAGCATGCTTTGTGTTACCTCGATCCTTTTCAGCATGCTTGGCATTGCTGCTCACTTCCTTCCCAGGATGCCCTGTGTCACATGCCCAGCATTGGTCCCCACATTTTTCCAGCATGTTGTGTTACACTGGTCTCCTTCGCAGCCTTCCCTGGGCCAGGCCCTGTCCTCCCCAGCATGCCCTGTCGTGCCCCATCCTTCTCAGCATGCCTTGTATTCTGTTCTTATCTTTCCCAGCATGCTTGGCATTGGTCCCCAATCCTTCCCATGCTCTGGGTCCAGCTCCCCATACTTCCCAGCATGCTCAGTATCAGGAGCCCCTGTATAGTCGATTGAGCTGGATCCAAGAGGGGGGGTCCCTGGGGCCTGGCTTGGCTCTGGCCCCCTCCCCACAAATGGAATCCAGGAGTCATGGTCCCTATTCACCTCCTCATCTGCTGAGCAGGCTGGGGCTGAGGCATGGGAGACCCGCCAACCTTGACTTTCCACCCCCCTCCATCATGGGTATCCAGAGAACTCAGGAGTGCTGGCTTAGAGCCCAGCAAGGGACAGGTTCCAGCACTGGTGCCCAGCCTGACCCTGCCCCCACACTACTTCCCTGATGCCAGGTGAGAAGGCAGCCAAGCTGAAGAAGAAGCCAGCACCCACCAAGAAGAAGAAGAAAAAGAAGGGCTCGGATGACGAGGCCTTTGAAGACAGTGATGATGGCGACTTTGAGGGCCAAGAGGTCGACTACATGTCTGATGCCTCCAGGTCAGGCCCTGCCCCCCCCCAGGCCCTGGGACCCAGGGCCCTGGTGCTGTGCCCTGCTTTGGTGTGGGTGGCTCACAGCCTTGGTGCTTGTACCCTGCAGCAGCTCACTGGAGGAAGATGTGGGGAAGCCCAAGGTGACCAAGGAGGAGGACGTGCCCAAAGGTAGGGAGGCTCAGGGGGTCTGTGGAAGGAGGCAGTGGGATGGCAAGGGGGTTGGGAGGGGGAGACGCCCCCCCCCCCTTGAGGCCTCATTTGCTTTCAGTGGTGCTTGCTGCCACTGTCTCCCCCAAGGCTTTTGTGCACACCCCTGCACATGGATGCAGGTGTTCACATGCACACTCGGCTAGTAGGTGTTCACATGCACACACATGTAGGTGTGCCTGCATTGACATGCCTGCACATGCACAAGCATTTTTATGCTCATTTACACACAGACATGCCCACATGGATTTGAACACACGCATGCTTGCATGCTCTTAGTTGAATGTGCTTGTGCACCTGCTTGCTTGTGCTTGCACACAGGCACACTCATGCTTACATGCATGCATGTGCACATGCACACTTGTGCATGTGTGCATGCTCACACTCATGCATGCATGAACATGATTACAAATAGTCATGCAGATGCTTGCACACAGTTGCAACTGAGACCCCATCCCCCTCACTCTGTGCCCCCCGCAGGCATTGATGAGGCGAGTGAGAGCAGTGAGGAGAGCGAGGAGGAAAAGGCACCAGAGGAGAAAGAGGAGGAGGAGGAGGAGAAGAAGGCACCCACCCCGCAGGAGAAGAAGAAAAAGAAAGGTGGGAGGGGTGTGGGACAGGGGACACAGGCCATGCCTGGGGCAGGAGGGACTGGATCCAAGCTCTGCCCCCACCTCTGTCCCTCAGCTCCTTCCCCCACTCCATTCTCCTGGCACCACTGTGGGTGTGGGTTGGGGGGTACCAGGGCTCACTGAGCTAGGTGCCTGCTTTGCAGACAGCAGCGACGAGTCAGAGACCTCGGAGGAGAGCGACATTGACAGTGAGACATCCTCTGCCCTCTTCATGGCTGTGAGTGCCCTGGGGGAGGGAAGGGCAGGGATGTAGAGGGTTCCTGCCCCATTCCTGGGGTGGGAGAGAAGGAAGTAGGTCCCTGGACTTCCCAGCCAGGCATGCAGCTCTCCATCCTCTTCCTGCCCTGATTCCTTGTGCTGTCAGTGCCACGTGTGCATGTGCAAGGTTGCATGTGCAAAACGTGTATGAGCATGCACATGCAAGCATACATGTGAGCATGTGCCTGGGCAAGGATGCATGAGAGCATGTATGCATACGTGTGCAAGTGTGCATGCATGTGGCTTCAAGCATGAGTGAAAACGTGTGTGCAAGCATGTATGAGCCTGTGTGGGTGCAAATGTCCGTGCGCACATGCAGTTGCATGCATGAGTGTATGTGCACATGTATGTGCAAGCATGCATATACCCATGGAAGCATGCATATGCAAGCCTGTTATGCCCAGCTGCACCCCAGGGGTGGTCATCCTGCCTGAGGCCTGGTGGGGCTTCATGGAGGGGGGCGGGGCAGTGCACGGAGGATTGGGCTTCACCATGATGCTGAGACCACCACTCCTCCCCCCACCCCAGAAGAAGAAAACGCCCCCCAAGAAGGAGCGCAAGGGCTCAGCTAGTAGCTCCCGTGGCAACAGCCGCCCAGGGACACCCACTGCAGATGCTGGAAGCACCTCCTCCACTCTGCGGGCTGCTGCCAACAAGCTGGAGCAGGGTACGGCTTGGGGGCTGGGGTGGGCAGCTATGGGGGTGGAAGTGGGGGACACGAGCCTGCCTGCAGGCCCTTAGCAACAGGACAGGGGTGGTGGGGGCTGGAACATAGGGTGGGGGGCAGCTTAGGGTATCCTTCACCCGCCCCAGGTCCCTAACCCTTCTCCCCCCTACATGCTCCCGGCACAGGCAAGCGGCAGGGGGGGCCCGGGGGCGCTCCACCCGCACACAGCTGGATGCGGGCGGCCCCCAGCCCACGTCGGGCAAGTCCACACCCCAGCCTCAGTCCGGCAAGTCTACGCCTAGTAGCGGGTAAGCCATCTCTGACCCCGGGCCTGGCTTGGTGTGAGTGGGGAGGGCGGAGAGTGTGGAAATGGGGGCAAGTAGGGGGTCAACTTTAGGGGTGGGAGTGGGGCTGGGGTTTGACTGGGGGTCCAGCCTAGGGGAAAGGAAGGTGGTTATGGGGGCAAGCAGGTGCGGGGGGCTGCCTCTAGGCCTGGTGAAAGGTGGGGTATGGGGCAAGGGAAGGCAGCTCCTTCCCCTCAGCTGGGCTCTTAGAGTCTTGCTGCCTAGGCAAAAGTTGGGGTGGGGTTGGGGGGTGTTTTACTCCTCCCACCCAGCTCACCTCCCCAGTCTCCTGCTTTGGTGCCCCTAGTGATGTGCAGCTGACGGAGGATGCGGTGCGGCGCTACCTGACACGTAAGCCCATGACCACCAAGGACCTGCTGAAGAAGTTCCAGACCAAGAAGACGGGACTAAGCAGTGAGCAGACGGTCAATGTCCTAGCCCAGATCCTCAAGCGCCTCAACCCTGAGCGCAAGATGATCAATGACAAGATGCACTTCTTCCTCAAGGAGTGACCACCGCCCCCCCGGTCCCTCCTGGCTTGTGCCCTCCTGGCCCTGCCACCTGTCTCCTATCCCCTAGCTCAGGGCAGACAGTGCCGGGGGGGAGCAGGGAACTGGGCCTGGGCATCCGTGTGCTCATGCCGTCCTGCCCCTTGCAGCATAGAGCAGAAATGGCTCTAGGGCTACAGGGAGCCAAGCCAGGGGCTCTTTGCCCATGTGCTCAGTCCCCCCTGCACCCCCCACATCCCCCAGCTTGGGGTAGGTACTGCCATGGACATG